GCTCAGTGGTAGAGCACTTGCCTAGCATGTGTGAGGCACTGGGTTCGATTCCCAGCACCACATAGAAAATAAAATAAAGGTCCATCAACAACTAAATATATGTACATATACATAAACACGAATTATTAGAAAAATGGAAGGGTTTTAAAAAACTAATTTATATATATGTATAAACTTCCATTACTTATTTTCACAGATCTAAAATTACTAAATTACTATAAATGTCTCTTAAATCTAACTCTCAATTTATTTATCTCAGCACAGGGTGGTGACAGAAAGTTCACAGACTGGGGTCACTACTCAGACCACACTTTGAGAAAGTACATCAAGTTTCTGGCTATCTTTGTCTAAAGAGATTCCAACTTCACAAAACTGAATGGCTTCCAGCTAAGTCTGGTTATTTAGAGGATTTCTGGCTGGTGATCCTACACCAGAAACGACTGGTTTCATTTCTCAGTTTCAGATTTCAATGATTTTACACACAGAAATAGCAGTGGACAACATTTATTGTTCTCAGGGCTTATATGAATACATGAACACAGACCCTTCCTCACATCAACAGTGTGTCACAATCCTTGCTTAAACCTGTGTTTATTCAAATGCATGCCCTCATGCTGTAAACTGGGAAAAACTATCAACAGGGTGACCCAAGGCCCTGTGACTCGGGAACCACAAATACAGCATTTCTTTCTTTTCTTTCTTTTGGAAACACATGGCTGCTGATTTATTATGGGCTGAAGATGAATGGCACACTCTGGGGACAGAGGGTTCAAACCATGTCTTCTAATTTGCTCAATTACTAATACAGTCTTCCATCCAATGCACTACTGGATTCTGAAGACTGTCCCTAAAGTCTCCCTCACAAGTCAAGTCCATGGGCCATCCAGAGTTCCTGGAGGAAACTGCCTGTGGCTAGAGAGACCCAATCCAAGGCTCAGCTCCAAGAACATCAGATTCATAACCTTAGATTTCTGTTTAAAGGCCTTCCAGGTTGCATAATAACCCACAACAACCGACTAATGTGTGGATGGAAGAATAAGGCAACCATGGCTCAATCAAGAGTGCAACAAGCAAAGTTATTTCACACATTGACTACTCGTTAAGCACCATACAGGGCTTTAGATTATCTAGCTAAATCAAGCAACTTGATAAATGAGTAGAGAAACTCATACAATTCAATTTTATTAAAGAAAAAGAACAACTTTTCTTTAAAATACCTTTAGGACAAGCTCATGGTAAGTTTAAGGTGAGGATGTCACTGCTTTATGAAAAGACCCTGCCATCGTCCGCCTGAGCCCCACAGAGTCGACTCCTGGTCACAGGGGAGTCTCATCGCCTTGCTCAACTCCTCAGGAGCCACCTGCCAGTGTTAACGCTGAGCACTGTCACCTCAGGGCCTCGGCTGATCACAAAGCCTCTTTCCACCAAGGCAAGAGGAGACCTGGCTCCTCCTCCACCAAGCACTTCCAGGCACACCCAGCAGCGACTGGAAACCTTGAAACCTTTGGGTGTTGATCACTGGGTGGGGGTGTCACTGAAATCTGCTGAGCAGAAGGCAAGGACACTGCTCAACACCCTACGATGTTCAAAATGTCAACAGTGTCACTGCAGAGACCCAGAGAACCTACGATGCTACCCACCAGGTCTTCTGCTTTCAGAAACACCACCCAGAGATTCCTCAAGGGTCTGAGTGACCAAGTCCACCCATCATTCTTATATTTACCTGAAAGGGATATAGGATGTATCGCCAAAGATTAATATTCTATAGGCATCTTCAGGAGTTCTCCCCAAATATATAACCTACATTTGAAAAGAGAAGAAAAAGGCAGTTTACTTCTCAGCGAAGA